AAGAAAGAAAGAAAGAAAGAAAGAAAGAAAGAAAGAAAGAAAGAAAGAAAGAAAGAAAGAAAGAAAGAAAGAAAGAAAGAAAGAAAGAAAGAAAGAAAGAAAGAAAGAAAGGAAAGAAAGAAAGGAAAGAAAGAAGGAAGGAAGGAAAGAAGGAAAGAAAGAGAAAGAGAAAAGAAAAGGAAGGAAGAAAGAAAAAAGAAAGGAAGGAGAGAGAGAGAGAGAGAGAGAGAGAGAGAGAGGAGGGAGGGAGGGAGAGATGGATTAGTTCCAAACACAAATTCCACATTTGGGTTTGTTTCCAATTGCACCATTCCAGGCAGGTCACTTACATGGCCGTGTTGATCCAGTTCATTATTTGTGAGTTTCACTTTTTCAAAAGACACCATCTGTTTCAGCAGCTGCTCTCCAGTGAAAGGAGAATCTGGGTGCACATACAACCTGGGGGAAATCACACAACAAACCCTTCCTGGTGAGACATGTTCGACCTGTGCTCTAGTAGGCTATAATAAACCATGATTCTAAAGCAAGGGTGGCTTCATTTTTGTTTTCATATCCCCAGAACCTAGGATAGTGCCTGGCATGTAGTCTAGACACTTAATAAATGTTTAGTAATTAATTGAAGGGACACTTCGATGGTTTGGGGCTTTTTAGCTGCTCAATATTAAATGCAAATCCCAAAGCAATGGTATAAAGGTTCTCCTCAAAGACTCTAAGCTTGTTTGCTTATAAACTAAAAATAGCTAGCAATTATACAGCATTTTAAGGTTGGCAAAGCACTTTACAAATATCTCACTTTATTCTCACAACAATCCTGTGAGATAGACACCGACAGATAATAATATATCTCCATTTTACAGATGAGAAAACTGAGGCAGACAGGTTAATCAATTTACCTACAGTCACAAAGTCAGTAAATTTCTGGAGCAAGATTTGAACTTAGGTCTTCATGACTCCAAGTCCAGCATTCAATCCACTATACTACCTAGGTGTCTAAAATAAATGGAAGGACTCCTTCATTCTAGTGTCTTCACTCCAAGATTGTCTCCTGTCTATCTGGTCTGTATCTTATTTGTACGTAGTTGGTGGCATGGTGTCTCCCCCATCAGACTGGGAGCTCCTTGAGAGCAAACACTATCTTTTTGCCTTTCTTTGTCTCCCCAGCGCTTAGCACAATGTTCGCAATTTTATTATGTGCTTAAGAAATGTGTATTGACTGACTAACTAATTTGTAGCTTCTTTCCATAATCCAAGTGAGTAAAAACATTTTACGTAGGTTTGAGTATTTTTCTGGTGCAATGGAAAAGGCATTGGATTTGGGTGAGGGGACTTGGGTTTGACTTCCAGCTTTGTCACTAGCCCTGTCACCACTAGCAGGTCATATTACCTTGCAATGCCTCAGTTTCCTTATTTTCAAAATGGGTATGATACTAATAACTGAGCTACCCATTTTGCTGGGTTTCGAGGAAGGTACTTGGAAAACTGCCTTAGAGATGTGAATGATCATTGCTGTTATTGCTTATCTTTCCAATCAGCTGCTAATTAGGTATGGCCAATGATTATAACATCTGAGTTGTGTCAGTATGATAAAAAAAAATTATGTCTTCCCATTAAATGTTTAAAGGAAATTACTATTAACATCTCCTACCAAACAGATGGAAACTGGGCAATTTAAAGTTGAAAATCACTTTTGCAACTTGATTAACTCAGTCTTAAAGATTAGTCAGCCTAGAGCTTTCTGGGCATCTTCAGCCTGGGTACTACTGTAGATCCCAGGGAGAATTATTGGAATACAGTAATTAAGTGAACGCTACTTTTTTTTTATAAGGCAATTGGGGTTAAGTGACTTGCCCAGGGTCACACAGCTAGTAAGTGTCAAGTGTTTTGGTCTGAAGCCGAATTTGAACTCAAGTCCTCCTGACTTCAGGGCCAGTACCCTATCCACTGTGCCACCTAGCGGCCCCAACATTACTTTTCTGGAGATAAACTTCCCATCTGCGGTTTGTCTATGCCCTCTTCTCCTCTTCCTTATTCATGCTTCACTTACTTTTGTTTTTAATAATAACAACATAGCAATAAATCTATGGGTAGCTAGTTAGCTAGGTTGCGCAGTAGATAGAGTGCCCAGCCTAACGTCAACAAGACTCATCTTCCTGAGTTCAAATCTGACTGCAGATACTCACTGTATGACCCTGGACAAGTCACTTAACTCTATCTGCCTCAGTTTCCTCATCTGTAAAATACACTGGAGAAGGAAATGGCAAATCACTCCAGCGTCTCTGCCAAGAAAATCCCAAATGGGGTCACAGAGAGTCAGACAGGACTAAACAACAATAAATCTACAGAAGATGAATAAAAAGCAAGTGTTTTATCCACCTGTGCAAGAATCTGTAGAACATTGAATATAAAGGAATAAGAGAAGGATAGTCTTGTTTTGGAATCATCTCTATCTGAAAATGATTGGAAAAAATAAAAGTAAGACAACAACAATATCAATACTAGGAAATAACCACTCACATTTACATAATGCTTCAGGTTTGCAAAGTACTTTGTACATATTATCTCATTTGGTTCTCATAATAACTTTGTAAGGTAAGTGCTATTAATATCCTCATTTTACAGATGAGGAAACTGAGACAAATGGCAATTAAGTGATTTGCCTGGAGTCACCCAGCAAGTTAGTGTCTGAAACAGGGTTTGAACTCAGGTCATCCCGACTCCAAGTTCAACACCACTGCACTACCTAGTTTCCCTTAATTTACACTATTAATAATGAGACAATATTAATAAAAGAAAATGGTAGAAACTGCACCATACACTACTCCATTCTTTAATAGTGACACCAGACATGCCCTGGTCACTAGAATTATACATCAGAAGTTTAATACCTTTCATGGATTGACAGATGACAAATTCCCACAGGAGAAATACAGCCTTCAACTTATCTTAGAGAATTCAACCAGTAAGTCAATAAATGTTTATTATGTTCCTACTATGTTTCTACTTAACAATAAACTACACTGGGAATGGACCATTATCACAGACTGAACTGTTGCCCACAATCTCTAGTATATAACATATCCATTAAAAACTCAAGAACATTTTTAATAGATTTCACCAAACCAAATTCTCAGAACCTCCATGGTACAAAAGTTTTTAAACAAAACACTTCTGAAATATAAACCAAGCAGAGGATCTCAAATGAATGTGAGAATAGGATGAAGTGCATATCATTCCCTTCATCCTGTCTGCTATTGGAATTGTCCCAAGGATGCTCTCAGTGAGCCCACAGAGGATGGGTTTGCATCCTAATATTTTTATTCAACTACTAAAAGCAATTATTTTAACCACCTGTGCAATGATCCATGGCATGTTAAATATTAAAAAGCCATAGGTTAGCAACCCCATCCAAGGACTATTTATATCTGGATCCCATCAAAAAAAGATGAGAAGAATGATGTAATAATGACAAAATGACCAAGAAAAAATGGTGTCTACTGGATACCTAAAAAGACATTAGCTGGAAACTAGAATTATATGCCAGAAACTCACTACCTTTTATAAGCTCACAGACAACTCACAGCTCAAGTACCCTTGGAAATTCAGTAAAAAAAATGAAGTGGAATTAGTATGTCCTTACAGACATAATCATTGCCTATAACCACCTCAACTTAATACTGATCCAAGGGGGCAGCTAGGTGGTGTAGTGGATAAAGCATCAGCCCTGGAGTTAGGAGGACTTGAGTTCAAATCCAACCCCAAGCACTCAATAGCTGTGTGACTCTGGGCAAGTCACTTAACCCTGATTACTTCCTAAAACAAAACAAAAATACCAATCCACAGAAATTTGAAAATAATGGTATTTCTAAAATAGATGTTGGTATACTGAATACTCATAATCTCCAAAGTACATAGATGAAGAGACTTCATAACACAGAGGCCTTGTAGAAGATCTCAGGGGTGCTAACAGCGTGAGGTTTGTGACATCCCTGTTTTTGTGCCCACTACTGGAGGAAACTAAGGAAACTTTCACCCCCAGACTTACTCAATTAGAAAACGTTGCGTTTTTCTATCTGTATAATAGTCCTTGGCTGAGTCAACATAAAAGAATAATATAGCAGGAGAGCAACTTGTCCTTAGACCATTTCCATCTGAACACCATCAAAAACGATAAGAAAGAGAAAACGGCCAACATTTCTGTAGCGCTTTAAGGTTTGCAAACCACTTTACTGATACCTTGTCTCATTTCATCCTCCCCACCTCCCTCTAAGGTGGGTGCTATCTTTATTCCCATTTGACAGGTGAAGAACATGAGGCTAAGAGATTAAAGGAAAAAATTCCTTAGGAATCAAGTAGTTGATGTCTAAGGCAGGAGTCCAACTCAGGTCTCTCTTGACTCTCGCAAAGTCAACACTCATCCACTGTGTCCATGCCTTACTGTTTCATCACTATTATCACTATCATCATCACTATCATCTATCATCACTATTATCAACATATTGACTGTGTCCTTCTTACATCCAGCACAGGGTGAAGGGGAATAAAAGGAGATAAACTCCATACTCATTTAATGTAAACAGCTCATTTGAATTGAAAATATTGAAGTTGAAAATAGTGATTCGAGTGGAACTTTGAATTAAGTGGGGATTTTTAGCCATTCACATTGACTTTACTCCCTTTTGCTAAAAGCAAACAATAGTTGGATTTCACTTTTTTTGCTTGCATTTTGGCTATGTTCATAAATCTAATGACTGGTAGTAATAATAACAATTATAGTAATAATACACACTTACATGGAACTTTTTAGCTTGCAAAGGACTTTTGTCATAATAATCTATTAATGACATCGCCCTTGCTTTACAAATGAGCTAGCTGAGTCTCAGAGAGATAAGATGAGTGACTTGCCCAGCGGGGAGGACCTCCTTCCAGGGATCCTCTGATTCGCCGTCCTTTCCACTGCCCTGTGCTGCCTACGTGGGCTTCTGCCACAATGTCTAGCAACATTATTCATACACAAATCTGTGACTGGAAGGGGAAAGGAATGGAGACCACTCTAACTACAGAAGTATGACAAATTTTTAAAAGCAATGAAAGGTGTCAGGATGATAACCAAAAAAAAACAACTACATGGAATAAAGTCAAGTTTAGACTCTCCAACCAAAATTTAGCACCAAATCAAAACACTAGCATACAAAATAAAAACCATTCATCCATCCTCTGCAGAGCTTCCTAACTGATATTCCTGAAACACAGCTGATGCTGTCATTCCCCGACCTGAAAATATCCAATGGCTCCCTGTTTTCTCTACAAATAAAACACGAGCTCCTCATCCTAGCATTCAAAGCTCTTCCCACCTGCCTTTCCAATCCCATATTACATCACTCCCCCTCCTTTTTCTTTTTGGTGAGGCAATCAGGGTTAAGTGACTCGGCCAGGGTCAC